TTTTTAACTTTGTAACCTTTCACAGATTTCTCACGTGTTAATGTATGAGTTTATATTTATCATTTTTCAAGTATATCCCTTGGAGATCACACACAAATGCACACTTGTACATATAGTAGGAGACTTATTCAAAAAGTAGTATTAGAGAATTTTTATTGAGCCTCGAATATGTAAGATTGTTTGTATGGTTATTATATATTTATATTTATTATTTCTGACAGGCCTTGAGCACTTTAGGAATGTGGTCTTGGTCAGTTCCTTGCAGGATCGATATGTTCCCTATCACTCTGCTCGCATTGAGATGTGCAAAACCGCTCTAAAGGACAAGCAGTCAGGTGAGAAATGCGAAGCATTTTTTTTTTATTTTTTTTTTTACATGCTCCTCATCTCTTGTTAAAGACACTCTACAAGGAATCCACATTGCATATTCTGTTTAACCACAAAGTGCATGCGATATCTATTGCTGTAAATACATTCTCATGAGCATTGCTTCCTTCTTAGAAAAGGGCAATACAGCAGTCCATTGACATATGTGAAAGACTACAGGACTGGGTATATGTTGCACAGATAGAAGTTATGCTAAGAAATGTGTGGAGTTCAAAAAGAAAAACAATAGAATTATCTTGGTACCTTTTTGTTTGGTTCACTAGGCATATTTATCTATTCTTGAGAATGTGTATGCCATATTTAGTTTTCCAGACTATGAACAAATTATCTGGGGGGCAGTTGGTTCTTTTTAAACTTGGGAGCATCTGGATCTCAATTTTCAATTGATGTGTGCTCATTTTTATGCACTTGCAGTGGGTCTGAGCTTTCCAACATTACCAATCTTCAAATAGGTTGACATCCTAACTTTACATTTGTTGTTGATTTTCTCTCCTACAGTGTGTACATTTTTCTAATTTTATTGGCTTTATTCACTAAACTGGAAATTGTGGGGAAAAAAATAAACTGGCCAGAGAAACTCTTTAGGAAAATAGCTGAGCTGTAAAAACTGAATCCATTAGTACAGCTATTGTGTCTTACAATTTGCAACTCTCTTGTCAATTCTTCTAAATTCCAAGCTCTGTGAATAAAACCCTTCCTGTAGTCGACCTAGCCAGCCAAACAAACACAGTATATATTCCAGTTGGTGCATAAATGATTATTTTGGAAGAGCTAGCAACATATTGGCTACATGTCTATTGTAGATTGTTTTTTATATCATGTGTTTTGTTTATTTATTTGCAGGACCAGTTTATGCTGAAATGATCAAAAATATCCTGCTACCTGTTCTGCAGAACAAAGACTGCAATTTGGTGCGATATGATGTCATACATGCGTTACCCAATACAGCAAATTCTCTGATTGGAAGAGCAGCCCACATTGCGGTTCTCGACTCCGAAGTATTTTTGGAAAAATTCTTTCTGGTTGCTGGCCTCAAATATTTCCAATAGGAGAATTGCGCTGCCAGTCCTAAATATAATACCTCATTAAAATAAATCTCAAAGTATGTGGTATCAAATTATTTGCCATTGTATTTTGAGTGATATTTATATGTTGTTTTTCTTTTCATTTTTGTTTTTATAATGGACGATAACTTGTTATATCATCCAATTTGAAATAAATTAGCGGTTACCAATTGCAATGTAGATTAATCTATATTTTGACTCCAAAATTATTAGATTGTTGAAGGAGGGGAGAAACTTTAGTTTTCCTTGAAATGAGTGTTGCTTGCACAGAGGTTGAAGATATGACAAACGTAAAAAAAAATAAAAAAAAAAAAAAAAATACTTGATCCTATGTAGGTTTGTTTGTACAAAACATTTAACATCATGGTATAGTTTACAGGGTTCAGAGGCCTGTAGCATTAACCTGATTGTGAGGTCAGCTGGTCTGGCCATGTGGGTTGCAATCTGTGTCTACTAGATAGAACAGCTTCACCTCTGAAAATTTTGCTTTTTTTCTTATCACAGGTTTGTAATGACCATTGTCTTCAATTTGTGTGTGGGAGGAGGGGGCGGGATGATTCTCTCTCAAAACCTATAAACACAGCAATTCTGGATGATTGTTCAGTCTATGCATGCTGCAGGGGCTGGTTTGTTTTAAACAGTTCTGGAATAGTGAACAAAATCAATGGTGAAATGCTGCTTTTAGTGAATTTACTTATTTTTTTGTTTATAGAATGAGTTTTTGGTATTGTGATTTTTTTTTTTTTCTGTACTTAAGTAATCTATATGCATGTGCCGTAAATATGCTTTAGGCTATAGATTACAGATTGAATTTTTTCATATTTTTTTTACTAGCCCTTTGAATACACATTCAACATTGATTAGGTATGCAGATTGAATATGTAGGAAAATTATTAAACTTAAATATCAGTCAGAGAGGACAAATATTGAGGGTCAAATATCAAGTCAGAGAGGACATTAAAGTGTTCACAGATTTAACAGAGAATTAAATGAGAACGTTAACATTAAAGAAAACTATCTGCCTTAAACTGGTCAGGTAATGTGCATAACAAGAAAGAGAAATCTATCAATGTTACATATATAGTTGTTGATAATCTATATGTGTCACATTGGAAGTGTCTCACATTCAGATATTCTCTTTCAGGTCCCCAACTTGTATCTACAGCTGTTTAGCCTTAATTCCCAGGAACCTTAGCCTGATATAGTAGGGAAATAGATTAAGGGATGTGGACAGCTGGAGTTACAGAGTACATCCATCCTGCTCCAGAAATAAAGTATGGAACAAATTATTTTACCCCCATTGCCTGTTTTATCTATCTGGAGACTACAATTTGATATTCATAGACTTCAGATTATGTTTATCTGCCTTTTCAGTAAACATGTATCACTTAAAATGTCCCACAGTCAACTTATCCAGTATACAGGAGGCAGTGTAAGCATTTACTACTAATATATTTTAAAGGGCTACTCCAGTTTTATTTTGTGGTCACTTTGCTGGCACAGTTCCCCCTTAAAACAAAATGTTTTAGATCCCATCAATACAGCACCGATGCCAAGTTCTCCCTGCAGAATAATCCTCTTCTTTTAATGTCAAACCCCCTCACTGTAGAGTGAAGGAAAGTAAGGAATGCATGGCTGAACGAGGGCATATTGGTGGGGGGAGGGGGGGCCAGGGGTGTTGACACCACTGAACATCAGCACTTTTTTCAGGCACAGATGTAACATTAGCCAACCCTGAACTGTCATTCTGGGCTGACTAATGATGCTGCCGGAGGTGGAGTTGCACCTTTGGCAGCAAAACAAAGTATCTTTTTATGTGTAGTGTTTCTTACTGAAATGCTGCACATACAGACATGCACCATGGACACTTCAAATCCCTGAAGTTGTCATGGTATGTAAAGTAAATTATATATGGGGCAAATACTAATGAGTTCATTGCATGTATTCTCTATGTTTTCACACTTGTAATGTTACAATCTGAAATTCAAATGGATTTTATTGAGGTTGTTTTACCAATTATCTAATTTACAAAAGATGCCACCCATTTTGACGGTGCAAAATATTTTATTCAGACATAATGTTTAAATTGATCCTCTGGTTTTCTGCCTTATTTTCAGCTTTGGCTTCACTCCCACATCAGTTTGTGTCTGTCATTTCCCTCCTTGATGATTACATCTCGGTCCTGATCAGCCTACCTTAAGTCCACAATACCCCACTACAATTTATAGTGATCGTTGCAATCAGACAGCCAGTTATCTCCTTTAAAGGGACACTATAGTCACCAGAACAACTACAGCTTATTTGCATTTGTTCTGATGAGTAGAATCATTACCTTCAGGCTTTTTGCCGTAAACAGTCTTTTCAGAGAAAATGCAGTGTTTATGTGTCTATGAGGCAAAGCTGATTGGCCAGGGCTGTGTTTGAATTGTGCTGGCTATTCCTCTGATCTGCCTCCTTGTCAGTCTCAGCCAATCCTATGGGGAAGCATTGTGACTGGATCAGGCTACCAGGCAGTGGGCCGGTCTACAGGAAACAGGGACAAGGCCTGCAGCTCCAGACTTGAATACAAGTACGATTTTTATGGAGGCATGAGGGGCCAGGGGGCTAGATGGTGGTTTTAACCCTATAGGGTCCAGAATACATGTTTGTGTTCCTGTCCCTATAGTACTCCTTTAACTTCTGTTCTTTACTCATATCATCATTTACATAGATTCTAGTACTTACATTGGCTTCCTGCACCCCTCAGGATATATTTAAAACTGACTGACACTGACCTCTATGGATTTCATCAACTCTACCTGTAATTTCTTCTTTAATTCTGAAGTACACCTCTTTTTGATCACTCTACACTGCATGTGACCTTTCCTTACCTTCTGTTTACACCTGCATCACTAATCTTCACAATGGAACTCTGTAACGGCAGCATCTTTCCTATGGAATCCTAGTCTCCAGTAAATTAAGAAGTCACTCAAAGCTCTCATTGTAACTAAAGAGAATCTTGTTCCGGTCTGGTTTCTTTCTTTACACCAGGTTGCACAAACACTCCTTATCAAACTAGTTCTGTAGTCCCATTAACACTATAGCTTTCCCAAACACTTATTTTTTTCCCCTGTATGTTTACATAGATACATACATACCTGACTACCTCTCCTCCCATCTGAAATGCTGTTCTTTCTCATGTGTTATCACATTCTGTGAATTGTAAGCTTGTCTGAGCACAGCCCTAGTCATCTCCTGTTAATATAAAGCTATCAGCCATTTATTTTTTGTTATATGCCCGTTATAAAATTGTAAAGCACTGTCGGAATTGTATAAAAGACAAAAATAAACAAAAAGAACATTGTTCCTATTGGTAGTATTACGTATGTACCGTTGATAAACTGCAGTTGTCAAGCCTTTACCCGCAGTCATATTTACTTTATTTTTTTTGAGTAAGAGCGCATATATATATATATATATATAGCGTAGTGATAGCACTCCCAGAACTCCAAAGGTATTCAAAATAAAATGTAACTTTTATTTTCAAGATTTTAAAAGATCCTGATGAATGTCACCCAAACTTTCATCAGGATGAAAGTTTGGGTGACATTCATCAGGATCTTTTAAAAATTTTGAAAATAAAAGTTACATTTTATTTTTACTACCTTTTGGAGTCCTGGGAGTGCTATCTCTACGCTATCTGGTTATACTATGCTGACAAGCACTGGGCAAAGACACCAGTAAGTTGGAGTGCAAGACTTATTTTTTGGTGTGTGTGTGTATGTATGTGTGTGTATGTATATATATTTATATATATGTATGTATATATGTGTGTGTGTGTGTGTGTATATATATATATATATATATATATATATATATATATATATATATATATATATATATATATATATATATATATATATATATTATATGGGTAGAAAGGATGCACTTTCCGGTCTTCAAATATTACAAAGTTATTTATTCCATTATATGGTATGCAACAAATTGAGCGACGTTTCGACCCCGTTTCTGCACAGCAAAGGAGGTCAGAGGGAAGGAAAACCAGACCTTACTTTTCCTCTGGGACATAACATGCAAGTGGCAGCAGGCAGGGCCGCCACCAGAAATGTTGGGGCCCCTAACTCAGCTAAGGGTCTGGGCCCCCCGGGGCCCACCCTTCAGGAATACACACACAGACACAAACACACACACTGATACAAAAGGACACAGATACACACACACACAGATACATACTAACAGACACATACTGAAACAGACATACATGCATATAGGCATACATAGTGACAGACAGACACATACTAACATACATACATACACACACAGACATACATTCATAATGACATACAGACATACATACTGACTTACACTGATACTGGCATACATACAGACATACTGACTGACATACATTCATACAGACAAACATACATGCATACTGACAGACATGCATGCATATACTGGCATCCATACACACATACATACATTCATAATGATGTGCAGACATACATACAGACATACAGACATACTGACATACATACACTGACATCCATACACACATACATACATTTATACTGACATGCAGACATACATACAGACATACATACATACTGACATACATTCATGCATACTGACATACACGCATACATACAGACACACACACACACACACACAAACAGACATACATTCATACTGACATACATTGATACTGGCATACATACTGACATACATGCATACAGACAATGACATACATTCATAAGGACATGCAGACATACATACTGACAGACATGCACGCATGCATACTGACATACAAACACACAGAGCTCATTTCTCAGCCACCCTCCTGTTATTACCTTTTCTTTGCAGGTGGGTGGCTGGGACTGATGGAAGTCGGTGTGGCTCTCCCTCTTCAAGGACTCCACGCTGGCAATCCTCCCGCGCGGAGCCACAGCGCTGACTGGGCCCCTGAAAATATAGGGCCCATCAGGTGGCCCTAAGTGCATGGGCTACCCGATGGGCCCCATTGGTGTGCGAGCCCCAGTGCAACTGCACTGGCGGCAACTCTGCCAGTGCAGCGGCAGAATTGCCGCTACACATGGGGCCAGGGCCGCCGGGCCTGTGACAACCGTCATGGTTGTCACCCCCTGATGGAGGCCCTGGCAGCAGCAGCTGCCCTGTGGATTTGTTGATGTAGCAGGTTGTTTTCTTTCAAAGTCAAATTGGGCTTTTAACTTATGGGCATTTTGACACCATACAGGAAGTCGACAAACAACCTCTCCAGAGCACCCATGACAAGAGAGCCTCACTTGGTAAGCATTTATGTGCCTTAGTCATTTTGATGAGGTCCGTAGTAGTACATGTAGGTTGTTAGGTCAGCAATAAGCCAAATTCTGTGCAGCTCTCACTCTTTCTGATCCAGCATCATGCCAAATGGCTTAGAAAGTCAGGGGATATCAGCAGTAGGTGCCTAAAGCTTGGTCAGCAATTTGCAAAGTCAGTAAGAAAGGTAAGCATCTGCTCTTCTGCCAGACACCACCTTCCAGACAGTCAGTCAAACCAGTCAATCATATTGATATTTACATTGCAAACAGCTGCTAAGCCGGAAAAGTTTCAAGATGATCCTACAGATTATGCAATGATGCTGCTGTTGAAGGCGAGAAATGTTGATATTTATGGACTCAGTATGGTTGCCAAGGTCTGTAACCCTTTCCTCAGAGTTTCTATCAGTTTGAGTTCTAAACTTTGACTGGGCCATGGGTTAAAAAAAAACATTTTTGGGTTCCTTAAAGACTGAAAAGGTTTTTCAATAGACCTGCTCTGTATGTGGTTCCATCCACTTGCCTCTGCAATTTTATTCCTGTTGTATAGTGGCAGTACACATATAAGCTTTTGTCTTCCTATCAGACAGGTAACTTTTTAAAATTTAAGATGATTAACAATTTAGTTCTATCCCATCCACAACCTCTTTGCAGGCATAAAAATATGTATCCCCTAATCAACCTTGGGTGTTTTTTTCGGTTTTTTTCGAAACATGGAGCTTATTTTCATTATGATAGGAAAAACATGGGCTTCTATTATTGGATGTAAAGCTACATAAGCTTCTGGGTGGAGTATTAAAGTATAAGAATGCCGGTATATTTGTTTATTGCAGGTAGTCTAGGAGTTGTTTCATACCCAGTTAGGAACTAGCACTGTAGACTATGTTCCATTTTGCAGAAATAAGAAAGGACTGGCTCGGAACATGGTTGTGCAGCCAGTGGAAAGCACCCTGGGTTGCCATGTGCATACCATGGGGAACAGACAGTGTGACTGCTCATGTACCAGAAAGATCACAAGTTTGCCACCAGATTTAGACCACTGGGCACATGTTTACATAGGATATCGATCTCATGCCTTCCCCACACATGAGCTGATGCATTTTAAGGAGATTGATCTGTCTCTGGCATCTTAAAAGCGTTCTTCTATATAATATGGTTCTAATAATTATATAGAGAGAGAGAGAGAAATACATTCATCTTTTAACAGATGTTTAGTACCACATCTCCAGAGATACCTGCAAACACAAAACCAAAAGCTACATCTAAAATTAAACTTTTAAATTGATTAGTTGTGATATTCCCCTGCCAAAAGGTTGGAAGTAAAGAAACCTTACAGCCCATGTTGTAAAGAGGCTATAGAAGAAATGTATGCTGTGGAGATATTGGAATTTCTGTTAACTGGTTTCAGAGTGACTTTAAACAGACCACACAGATACCAGCCCACAGAAAATCTATGAAGAAGGGAATGAACTTCAACAGAATTTTGAGAATACTTCTACTGAGTTTTTTCTTCTTTTGATAAAGATTCTGAAGAAAGACCACAGAAGAAGAGAGGTTCATAAAAGTAGTGAAAATGACAGAAGGAGATCATAAACCTTAAAGTGAGATTGGAAAATATTCCAGAAAAGTATGTTTCCAAATACTTTAAAGTTCTGTTTAATCTTAAAGATGAAGAATTTGAGCATTGTAAAATTTTACTAGTAGATAAATCAGTCGCTCAGCTTGAGTCTAAAGGGCAAAGTACAGACCTCTTGTAGATGGATTTTTGTGGCCTCACCATTGACGTGTAAAACTTTGATTGAAGAGGGATCTGAAGGAAACGCACAAAATGTGTGACTTCAAGCATTGGTGGAAAGTTTAACTGAAAAATCATCTGAACATCAGGTTATTCTACTTAAAGGACCACTATAGGCACCCAGACCACTTCAGCTCAATGAAGTGCCAGGTCCATCTAGGGTTATCCCTGCAGCTGTAAACATAGCAATTTCAGAGAAACTGCTATGTTTACATTGAGGGTTAGTCCAGCCTCTAGTGGCTGTCTCCCTGACAGCCCCTAAAGGCCACTTCCAGTATACTCAATGCAAAAATTGCATTGAGAGCACGCTGGACGTCCATTGGAAAGCATTGAGTAATGCTTTCCCGTGGGCGGTTTGAATGCGCGTGCAGTGTTTTCCTGGGACTGTAGTGCTCCTTTAAACAGTTTAGGTAGCCTAATGAGTTTCTGTGTTATGTAGTAGATATGAAAGTTGGCTTTATCTCCTGTTCCAAGAAGTGCTATTTGACAGCTAACTGTGCATCTGAGAAATCACTTTGTAAATTGCCATTTGAAAAAGGAAGATAATGCGGCTTTTGACCATTTAATCAAACAAATGTAAGATGGTACTTCCCCATGACTGGAAATAAATACAAGGTGGAAAAAGATTTACTTCTTTATTCTCGTGCCCACAGAGATCTACTTATGGCAGTAGGGATGTGTTTCTGTTCCTTTTGAAGACAGTCAGGATGCCAGATCTACAACTAGAAGCTAGGCTTGTAAACAAAAATAATCATAGCAAGGCTTCAGAGATTTTATTAAAATTGGGAAAATCCATGGAGAATGAGGTTTTGAGAACAGTAATTTGTAACAAAGTTGTCAAAATTGTGTCATAAAAAAGTTCCTCTATCAGAAAACAAAGATCAGGGTTTATAGTCTTGTCTGTTTTGGCAGAAAATCCAAGTTGCTCATTGCCGAAATTTTAATTTAAAAGGGGCACTAAAGTAACCAAAACAACTTTAGCTTAATGAAGCTACTCAATTCTCTGCAATTTTGGAGTTAAATCACTTTGTTCATGCAGCCCTAGCCACACCTCACTACATGTGACTTGCACTGACTTCCTAAACACTTCCTGTAAAGAGTCATCTAATGTTTGCACTTCCTTTATTGCAAATTCTGTTTAATTTAAAATGTATTCTCTCCTGCTCTGCCAATAGCTTGCTAGACCCTGAAGGTGCCTCCTGAATGTAAAGTCCAATTTACAGTGCAGGAGATAAAAAACATTTAAGTAAATATCTAAATTAATATTAAAGCATTTTGTTTTCATGCAAGCTGTGTAAGTCACAACCAGGGCAGGTGGGGCTCAGTGGTGGATCCACAGCCTGATCTCTGGAGGGGCACTTGTAGATTATTTAAAGAAATAACCCAGACACAATAACCACTACAGCTCAGTGTAGTGGTTATTGTGTCAATAGAGCTGGGACCCCCTCCCAGAATAAGTAGTTAAACCGTTTAAGAACAGTTTGACAACTTACCTGAGGTCTGCTGGGAAATGGGGCTGTAGTAGGGCATAGGAGCAGGGGTATGTGTGTGAGGGGAGCTGTGTGTGTGTGTGTGAAGGTTGCAGTGTGTGTGTGAGTGAGGGCGGCAGTGTATTTGTGGGTCGGTATGTGTGTGTGTGTGACAGTTGCAGTGTGAGTGAGAGGATTGCAGGTATGCGTGTGTGTGGAAGGGGGGGCAGTGTGCTCTGGGTGTGTTTTTGTCTTTAATATTACTGAGGTAGATTGAGAGAATTGTATACCTAGGTATGGAGATGTAAGAGCATAATATTTGAATAATCTTAAATGTTAGTAGGTTATCTGTCCAATTAGGAAGGTGACTACCCATATCTGTACTGCCACTAATACCAAGTGGGAATGAGGGGAGAATTTACAGTATGTAAAATTTTCTGTTTCCTTTTATGTCACAATAAAATACTTTGTCAAAGTGTTAAGCAAGCTGTATAAATCATTTGGCAAATATCCCAATAAAACAAATTTTAACTTCAGGTTGTAACACTATAAAACGGGAAAACGTCTATGGGATAAGTATTTTGCAAGAAACTTTTATTTTTTGTTATATATCTGCTTGCTCTCAGGCTGCATAATTTTTTTTAATTTTTTTTATTTATTTTTTTATTACCGATACAGGATTTGAAGTTGTAATTCAATGTTTACAGCCAGGATGACTTGCAGCTCTTATTTGACAGATCAGCTTAATTGTCACATTTTTCCCTCCCAAACATTTTAACCCCTTAAGAACACGACATGTTTGACATGCCATGATTCCCTTTTATTCCAGATGTTTGGTCCTTAAGGGGCTAAGGGGTTAAACCTATACATTGATTTCTACATCCACTCCATTTAATTGAGGTGAACCAAGAGGGAACTGATCACAACTTAGGTCACATCAAGGTCAACTGCTGAAGTGGAAAGTTGGGACGTATAACATTTTTGGGGAGAGGGGATTCCTATTGGCTCTCTTCCTACTTGTAAAACCCATAGGTCTTGACATCAGTTTTATTGAATGGTCGGGACTCTGCTTTCATTGCTGAGTCATATTGAAGCCAAAAGTTAGGTTGTATTGTAATTTACGCCATGTTATTAGATAAGTTGTTAAAGAATTGTTGAACACAGTACCAGAGGTTTAAGTTGGTCCCTCAACCCGAGTTGCTCTTGTATATTACCTTTTGAGCAGTGATGATGGACCAACACAAGGGCCACCGCTGGCACTTAGAAACAGCTAAGGTGGCACTAAGCGTCTGTCAAAGTAATCGCCATCAACTATGTAGACCTAAGCAAATAATGTATTCACCACCACAGGTAATATGTTGCAAATGGGCTGATCTGTGTGCAGCACACACTTTAGTGAAGCCGTAGAACAAGTATGGAGAAAACCACCTGGATATGGTCAGTTTATCATAAGTACAGGGGAGACACTTTATTGGAGTAGATGCACAACTGCTTGTGATACACATGTAAAAATTCCTATTTTAGCATGTTATAGCATGGTCCATATTATAAACCTGTCTTCATGTTTGAACACACCGTTTTTAAAGTGCATAGAGAGGTGGGTCTTTTCTATATATCTTTCTATACGCTCTTTGTTTGCAGCTCATTTAATAATGTAGGTGCTTTTGGTACTTCTTGGATTGCTGCTTATAGTTTTCTGTTGTTATTAATGCAATATTGAACAACTGATATAAAACATTTGGGTTAAATTCCTCAGTTATTGGAAAACATTGCATTGGATGATAGGCACAAATATGCTCGAAATACCTATTTTCATAATATGTATAAAGCACTTTGCACAGTGCGTTCTATAACATGATAAAACTGCAAACTGGAAAATTCTAGCTGCTAATAACCCACATTTAAATAGAAATCTGGGGGGTGGGTTTGTTTTTATTAGAATTTTTGCTTTATGCTCTGATATTGTCACATCATATCCTTGTGTTCTGGATCTTTTGTGTTAAACTTGTGAAAATAAATTTCCTAATATTTATTATTGCTGGGGGAGCACAGGGAAGAACCTCACTATGTTCTTGCTTTAAATACTGGAACCCCACCCCCCCCACCCCCAACCTTTGTATAATTGCTGCCTTAACAAACATCAGCACTGCAACACAACTTATTGTACTGACCAGTGTTCCCCCTAAGGTAGTGTTAATGTTTAACACACAAGTGTTTTGTGTTCCCCCTGGCATTATGGAGAAATCAAAGCAGCCAGAGTGATGCAGGCTAGCCATGATAAGCTGTCTAGAATTGTGCGTATGGCACTCGTCTTGCAAACTGCAGTGTGTGTTTACATTAAGCATTTTCCTGGTTATTGTTTTAGATGTGGGATTGTTCACGTTTGAGGTAACACTGCTGCACAATGCAATCTCTCCAACTGATCTCATATGTATGTATCTGTAAGAGTGTAATCGTGTGTTTGCAATACATTTCTGAATTTTTAGATAAAGATGAAAAAAGTGGTTGTATTGACTTATATAAAGTATTGTATATAATCTGAATGTGCAGTGCAATGATGACATGTTAGTGGTTTGAATAATGTCTTTTTTTCATACTGAAGAATGTTAAAGGTCTGATGACTTGCTATTGGTGCTTAATAGCGTTTGAGAACAATATTTTCATGCAAAAGTATTTTTTTTTTTTTTTTGCTTATTGATGCACTGAGGGTGAAAGCTTTCTATTCACAAATTGGAAGAAGTGGACTTTTGTCAAAATATAAGTATGCTTTAAGTAACTTGTGTAGCATGTTCTAAGTAGAATTCTGTTTCGGCATATGGGTTTTAATCACTGCTTACTTTTTGTTTTTTTGCTATTTTTATTTTTAATTCTTTTTAACGCAACACAACGCTATGAAATAATGTCTCTCTCAAGACTGGATTAAAAATAAAATAATGATACTGGAACCTTTGTTGGGAAATAGTACAATGTGATTGGCCTCTAAGTTAGTTTGATACAATTGAACCTCCGATCATCTCTAGTAATGCCAAACATGCAACAAACCCATTCTTATCTAACTGTAGTTCTAAAATGATGGAGTACATTTTTAATAATCGTTTACAAAGGAACCTTATGAACATTTCATCTTTGTGGCAAATAACATGTAGTTTTCCTATATCTTTGACTTTAATTAACACATTTATTAAAGGAGTAGTATTATTAAAAATAAATATGATCTAAATTATCTGGCTAAATTAATCCCTTTACCAATCTGACTAGTTTATTCGGGCTAAATAAGTGATGAATATGGCAATAGTAATAGCAAAAAAATTACAAACCAATTTGGATGAACAAAATAAATACATGTGTAGGCACTTGTGGATCTGACAAAAAAAAGTACTTACAGAAATGTATTCTCTAAAAGTAACTTACAAAAAGAATGGGGGGATGAAAATGTAAGTAGTCCTAATAAAGGCCGCAATCTTTAAAGCCATCTTAAAGAGGTACAATCTCTTCTCTGGATTACACTATTGACTGACATATATAAAATCAGCTGCTTATGAGATGCTCTGCTTTCTTTCAGATTAATATTACAGATTTAACAAATTATATCATAATCCAGTTCAGGTAGGGCAAACATTGCTAATGAATATGAATTTACGTGTATTAAGTCAAAGTGGTCACATTAAGAAGCTATGTAACCAACTCTTGTATAATGATAAAGACCAGATTTGGAAAGAGGATACATTCAATATTTTTCTATCACTTTTATCATTTCATTTTGTTGATCCTTCTCTTTTAAATATAACTTAGTTTGCTCTACATCCCAAGGAACACCCAGCAATGTTAGTTTTCTAAATATACTCATTCATGGTTCCATTGATGACCTGTTACTATGTGGATTGAATCTGGACTCTGGATTTTGTGAACAGACCGTAGTTTAACTTTTCGTAATGGTGCCGAATGACTCCCCGATTTAAGAAGCATCCGCCTGTCTGTAGTTTGAAAATACTGCCATCATGTTTTGTTAGCTTGTTTTGTAATTATTTGAATACATTTGTATGTTGTTGTTTTTTAACATTTTAGAATGTGTTTTGATTAAGTGTAGCAGTATAAACTAATTATGATTACTGTGATTAAAAAGAAAAAAGTGAGCGCAAAATTAATTTTAATCTTCTATTAGAGATTTAATCATCCCAATAAAATGTTACTCTTTTTGCACATGGTTGAATGTTTCTTTAGAAGGGCTATGGGTGCTTACTACTTTTTTTTTTTTTTTTCCTTCAAAATTGGTTATTGGGAATGGTGGGCAGAGCTGGACTTGGCCAAAAAAAAAAAAGGCAAAGAAGAAAACCCCCCACAAAACTCTGAATATATTACTACTGGTAGTATGTTTTATTATTGCGTGCACCAAAAAAGATACGTATGTGGGGAAAATTCACTTGTAAATCTTATAACTGATCTGACTTATTTTTAGAAAACACGATTAGTTGTCAAAATCTGGATGTAGGTTGGGGTTCTAAAATATAGGTAATCTCTAAGTTTTTGTGTGATTACTTTTCGATGTCAGAATGTTAACATCCAGTATGTAAATTTACTAAACACTGAATTGATATGAAGTAAAAACTAAAAAATTTAGACCAGTGGTCCTCAAACTCCGGCCCCCCAGATGTTGCTGAACTACAACTCCCATGATTCTTTGAATTACATAGCCAGAGAATTATAGGAGTTGTAGTTCGGCAACATCTGGGGGGCCAGAGTTTGAGGACCCATGATTTAGACAATAGTTGCTCATTTGGGAAAATCTCCAACCCAGCTTTTGTCAGTGTGGCTATTTTATCCCAAAGTATGCAGTTCAGATGTCCGTAAACCACAATGTGGTGCCTTATGAAGGAACACTATTAAGATTATGAGCTATTATTTATTTATTCAGCCAATTAAACTTTAAAGGAACACTCAAAGCAACATAACAATGTAAATTAAATTGTTATTGTGCCAAGAAGCACTCGAGCACACTCTTACCTTCAGAGGTTAAACTGTTCTCGAACGGTTAAACCCCAAAATTGCCTCCAGCGTCAATCTCAGGTCCCCCCCACTCTGTCAATCAGTGACTCCCCATTCACAAAAAAGGCTTGGAAAGAAACATACCTTTCCCAAGAGCCGGATGCCACCGGAGGGAACCTACAGTTCGGCTCTGGGGACAACTTTGAGGTTAAAGCGTTTGATGGTTTAACACCCTTGACCACCTCAGGTGCCGCACATGCATTAAGGCTTCCCCATAGGAAAACACTAATTCAATGCTTTTCAATGTGGATTTTGAAGATGATGGATGCTCCCGTGCACAGGGTGAAGACGTCCCTCGAAGCCCTCGAGTTTAACTCTGCGAAAATCCAGAAGACAGTCACTAGAGGTTGTTCTAACCCTGTAATGATGTCAAATGTAAAACACGAGGGATGCCAGCCCTTATACTGTTTAAATATCAGGAACAATGCAAAGAGAAAAAGCTGCACATTGGCACCCAGTACATTTTTAGGGGAAGCTAGAGGTGCATTCCATCCTGAGTGACAGTTAGGAGGTGGTACAATCAGTACTTCCTCCGCACACTGTCACTCATTGTACCATGGCACAGCAGAACACAACAGATTATGTATATGCATGCTTCTCTGCCCTCCCTGTGGCGGCATTCCTAAATGACAATAGGACCAGAGACTTTAGCCCAAAGTTACGTTTTATGACCATTTCCAATCCACACCCTATGTCAAATCTTAACATGTTCTATTATTTGCCTAACATGTCATGTTATTAATTGAAAGTATTATATAAAAGTATGTAAACGGTCAGATCACAGACTTTCCAGTGCAGCTCAATGAGAAGTCTTTGCAGGGCAGGTGCTCTGGGCAATTGCTGCCTCTTGAGGTTAGCTCCACTGAGCTAACTAAACCAGGAAGTGATAGAGCTAGTTGTCTGAATGACAGCCACTGGATTTTAACCAGGCTAATTTCTAAAAGTGCCAATTTCTATTAAAATCTATACTTTTTATCAATTAAAAAATAAGTTCTTGCAAGAAGTGCTTAAACAATTATTGAGACAAATGAAAAATGTTTTTAATACTTCCCCTTTATGAGCACTTTTGTAAACCACTTTTGTAAGCTGAAGTGGTCTGGGTGCCTATAGTGTCCATTTAACCCCTTAAGACCGGAGGGCGTACTATTACGCCCTATTTTAGGCGTCTCTAAACGCCGCCGGGCGTAACAGTACGCCCTCCGGTCTTTCCTTACTTACCCGGTCGCCGGAGGTCCCACGCCGGCGATCGCGGTGTGGGGGACTCCCAGGGAGCCCCCCCGCGGCAGACCCTCCTCCTCCGGTGCCCCCCGGCCATGTGAGAGTAAGGTCCTTACGAGGGCCTCACAATCACATGGCCGGGATAGCTGCCTCCTGCATTGCCTTGCTGGCTGAATATAATATAAAAAAAATAAAATTAAAAAATTAAAAAATATATAGATGTGTGTTATATAGTTCTAACTGTATTGTGATATTAATATATATATATATATATATATATTTATATCAAAATACACGTAGAACGAAATAATATATCTATATACATAAATATTTACGTATATATCACTATATATATACCTATATATAAATAAAAATATATTTTTAAAAATTATATATATATATATATATATATATATATATATATATATATATATATATATATATATATATACACATATATATATATATATATATATACATATATTATTCTACATATATATTTATGTAATATTTTTACATAATTGGGTATCTTAATTAATTACAATTAGCGGGACCTGCCTGACAACCCATGCCAAAAGTAAAGGGAATTTAATTTGCTAGCACTATATTTAACCCTATAACTTTCCAAGACACCATAAAACCTGTACATGGGGGGTACTGTTCTACTCAGGAGACTTCGCTGAACACAAATATTAGTGTTTCAAAACAGTCAAATGTATTACAACGATGATATCGCCAGTAAAAGTGAAGTTTTTTGCATTTTTCACGCACAAACAGCACTTACACGGACGATATTATTGCTGTGATACTTTTTACTGTTTTGAAACACAAATATTTGTGTTCAGCAAAGTCTCCCGAGTACAACAGTACCCCTCATGTACAGGTTTTATGGTGTTTTGAAAAGTTACAGCGTCAAATATAAGGCATGTGTTTCATTTTTTTTCACATTAAAATTTGCCAGATTGGGTACGTTGCCTTTGAGACCCTATGGTAGCCCAAGAATTAAAATTACCCCTATGATGGCATACCATTTGCAATAGTAGACAACCCAAGGTATTGCAAACGGGGTATGTCCAGTCTTTTTTAGTAGCCACTTAGTCACAAACACTGGCCAAAATTGGCGGTTTTTGCATTTTCACACAAAACAAATACTAACGCTAACTTTGGCCAGTGTTTGTGACCAAATGGCTACTAAAAAAGACTGGACATACCCCATTTGCAATACCTTGGGTTGTCTACTATTGCAAATGGTATGCCATTATGGGTGTAAATTTAATTCCTGGGCTACTATAAAGTCCCAAAGGCAACGTAACCAATCTGGCGAATTTCAATTTCAAATGTAACGTGCTATATTTGACCCTGTAACTTCCCAAAATGCCATAAAACCTGTACATAGGGGGTACTGTTTTACACGTGAGACTTTGCTAAATACAAATATGTGTATTTTATTGCAGTAAAAGCAAACAGTATTATGACATTGACAGTTAAAATGTCATATAGAACAAAAAAAATAAAAATAAATTTTCTCCCATTTTTTTATATTAAATTATGTTTTATAGCTAAATATTTTATATTAAATGAAAGCCCTGTTTCCCCTGAATAAAATGATATATAATAAGGGAAGGGCCATCTTTAATATTGATTGGACCCTGGGCAAGCATCTGCTTGGGCACCCTGGGCATGCAATCACTCCCTCCACCCCAACCTAGAGGCGAAACTAATGTAGAGAGTGCCTTGGTGCAAAAAAAAAATAATAATTCAGGCCTGCCCTGTAGCACAAGAGTAAAGAAAAGATAGATCCCCATCTGTCATACAACTCCTGCGATGCTATGCAGGTGGGGATCTACCATCCTTGCAGGGTTGTATTTTTGAGCAGTGTTTGTGCAATTGAATGTCAGTATGTTATTGTATAGAGTGTATGTGTGCATGTAGGGGTGTATTTGTATGTACTGTTACCATTGGAATGCAGTGGTGTACTTGTGTGTAGTGTTTGCGTTTGAATGCAGTAATGTGTGATTGTCTGTAGTGTTGGCTTTTAAATGCAGGTGTACTTTTGTGTGTAGAGTTGGTGTTTGTATATAATTTTAGCGTTTTAATACAGGAATGTGTTTGTATGTAATGTTTGTATTTGCATGCAGGGGGTTGTTTGGATGTAGTGTTGTGTACATTTGTGTGTAGTATTGGTGTTTCAGCAAACTGGTGTGTTTGTATGTAATGTTTGTGTTTGCAGGGCTCTGTTTGCATGTTGTGTGATTTCTATAACACATATACACATACACATTAACATGCAGATACACACATAGACACACTGACACATGCTCACACCTTGACACATACTGGCACATACACACACACACTCAGATACACACCCTTTGACACACAGATACAAGCACTTTGATACACACACACACACACACTGGCACACACTGGCACAGGTATGTACACACACACTCAGATACACACATACATAAAGGTATAAATGCAGGGGTGTATATGTGTACAGTGCTAGAGATGGAGTGTATTTGTCTTGGCATTAAAATGCTGGGATGTATGCATTACCATACACTCAGATGCACACAGATACACATACACACTGACACACAAGTACACATACACAGGTATACATACACACAGAAACATTGACACACAGACAAACACAGCCAGATACAAACACTGACACAAACACAGCCAGATACACACAAGGACATAAACACAGCCAGATACACACACACACACACACACACACACACAGGGCCGGACTGGCCCACCGGGATACTGGGAAATTTCCTGGTGGGCCGCGGCACCTGGGGCTGGGCTGACAGCCCTAATCATTGGGCTGACAGCTCCTGTGATCCCGGCCGGCCATGTGTGAGCTGTGCGGCCGCACAGAGCCCCATGGGAGCAGGGGGAGCCAGGCG